CACAGGATTGGCTGCGGCCAGGTGGTCCAATATGTCTGCGCTCTAATCCGACGCCACACCACAGCCACACCACAACACCACACCCTTCCACATCGCACGACACAACTCCACAACGCTACGGACGCAAACGCTTCTGCAAAAAATATCTCTTTCTTCTAGTATATTTCGCAGGAATTCTGTGATTCAGATGCCTGGTGATAATTCTCGGATGCGTCTGGGTAAGTGTAATAAGTTTTGTGAATTTTTACTTTACCTCTTTTGGTGGAGTCCAATAAGTGTACTGCTACATCTGCACATATCCTCTTGCCTTAAATTAGTAAGCCCTTAATTAAGGACCTTGTTCACCGCATATTGTATTTTTTAAGTATTGTATCGTTTTAAATGTTGATGTTATTTCCTAACTTTCCATAAGAGTCGTCCTTGAACGTGTCAAATTAGGAACTTTCTAAATCGCTTTCCTTTGTTGGGAGTGGTTCAAATGGTTTCTTCCTACATTGACTGATCTTGTCGCTTAAGTGTTTTTTCTGAAAATTTGTGTTTTAAGAGGTAATGACTTTGTTGCAGGTTTTTGGTGATTAGTCACATATAAGTATTGACATTTTACCCATTATTTGTAATGTTTAGTTTCTGCTTAGCGGGTGGCGCCGTATATACTATATGCTGCATGCATTATTTGTAAAATAATGAGCTTTACTTCTTTCTCTTCTCACGTTGACCCAAATATTTTTTCCCTATTTCAAACTTTGTCTCCAAGCGCTTTTCCCGCCTTCCAATATTTCCAGCTTTAGTCGAATGTAATTTTTATGAATTCTTATTCGCTGAACAGCTAATATTGTCCTAAGTTTGGTTTAAGGATTAGGAAAATGGCTTTCCAACTTCTCACTTTATGTAAATGTATTCATGTTTTTTTACATGAATTTCCTCACTGCAACACCTATAAATCCCGCTTTAACGTTCGTTGTCGTAATTAGTCTTCACACATTAACGCTAGGACGTTGTTTTTTTTGGATTATGGGAACGTATGAGCTATTGTGGTTCAAAAGTTACAATATTTACTCCAAACTTTGTGCTCCTTATACATTTTTGCTCAATCGTATGTCATATGTTCTCTACCGTGTCTTGGTACTTGATTTTTTGTAGACGAGAACCAACAAAAACTACAGAGAGATCAGTCCTCGCGTACTAAATGTTCGGTGGCCAAAAAGAAAGCAAATAATGAATTTGCTGTATGTTATTTTTTAATTTCCACTTTTGGTCAAAATTTCGTTGAACTAGTCTTATAGCATTAAGGTGTGACACTTCGGCAGTGCAAATTTTGGTCAAAATCAGAAATTTCATATTTCTAATTTAATGCCTTTACTTTAAGTCTGATTAGTTGATCTAACCCTATGGGATAGTATCATCTTGTTGGGTACCATTACTGTTCTTTCACTAAAATTGCCTATTAACTTGTTTAAATTGTCTTAAGTAGTGATTTAACAAAATCGAGCTGTGCAAATTCATCTCTTTTGAACCGACTGTCGCAAATGTTTTGAGCTCAGAAGCTGCCAGTGTGTAACGTCTCACTAAACCAATTTAAAAACGGCCTAACATGCCAAGAACTAAAGTGTATTTTTATGCAGTAAATTAGATTTTCTACAGCCTATGCACTTTGTTCTTGCTTTGTCTTCCACGTCCATCTTCATCTTAAAAAGGTACAATGCTTAGGGGGCTGGACATGCGAGATTTCATAACTTATCAAATTCTTTGTCATTATACCTGGAGTAAATTGAATTTTCTTTAATGTTAAGTGAAGTTACTTTGACAGTATGTTTTTTAAGGTCATGCTCCAGATGTGTGCTTGTTACAAAATTTATAACAAAGGTAATGACTTGCAGCTTACACGCTCCACAAGGGCTTTCATCATTGTTAGTGTTTGTGGTGCCATTTTTGATGAATTTCACGTATCTGAGATTTTCCTTGACGAATGGGTTCATCAAGGAGGTTTGATCTTGACATATCTGTTTCGAAATTTATTTTGGAAACTTCAGAAATTGGGTTGCAAAGGTAATTAAACCATCAGCAATACAAACTGCGCACTTAAAACCGTTTGAATTCCCATGTAATACCCTACAGTCGTTGCGAATTTCATTGACCTTGACAAATTTAATGTTACACTGCGAAAAGTTTTTGTAGGTTGCGTCGTGACTTTCGCAGTTTGATTTGTGATCAACTATGGAGGCTGAATTTCTATCAATTTTGCTTCTTTCAGAGTTACTTATGGGCATTCACCATGTCCCTCTCTTTTGGAATGCTTCTTTCAGTTTTTGTAATCGCCGGGATTAAATATTTATTTGGTATGCCCATCAACGTCCCATGGCACTCCGAGCTTTGATTTGACGCCAATACCAAATAAGACCTCTGCTCATTTTTATTTTTTTTTATGATTTCTATGGTTTTAATATCAGTAGCTTATTCTTTTGTTTACCGAAAAAATGTAGCATTCTTTTTTCAAAGTAAAACCATTTTTGGAGGTCTCAAATGCCTTTGAAATGAGTTCCTATAATGACTGAATGTTTTTTTTAATATGCACGATCTACTGTATTGATATTTGCCAACATTTTCTTATGAAAATCTCGAAAGTGCATACTTTTGAAAAAAAAGTGAGTTAGTTATCACAACAGCAGTTGCAGTAAAATCTGTCACCGTAATGAGCACAAGTTCTCTAGTGGTCTGTTCTCTGTTAGCTAGGTGTAGTTTGATTTATCGGGTGTCTGACAGAAGCAGCGGTGTTACGGCAACTAGTAACGTCAATTTTTGGTGTCAACTAATAGTTAAGATTTGAGTGAAATCAGGCATAAATTATGCCTTTGTTGAGCAATCAGCCTTGCAGACGGGAAATTTCAAGATGTGTGCATGAAAGTTTAGGGGGGGATGTCAGTGAACTTGGCGACCGGGTCGCAGAGTTGCGCCGCTGTCGTGGGAGCGAAGGTCATCCCGTGAGGTTCTCAGAAGCTACTCGATTGAGTTGGTCCATACATTCAGCCGTAGCAAATGCTGGTAGCGATTAAACATCGTGGGAATGCGACCATGTGTTGAGGTGTTATCTTCAATTTGGTTGAGGCACGGTTTGCATGAACCATAGTGGAATCAGGACGGTGCAGAGGGGGTTTCAGAGATGCCTATTCTAGTATGCGTCTCCAGTCACATGATCAGGCACTGTTAAAGGGCGTCTTGTGAGATACGGGGAAGTGGTCATCATTCTTAGTAATTGGAGCATTATGTAAATATCGGGAAACGTCTAGTGCATAGTGGGGAATGTTGGCTAACTTTGTTACGAACGTCCCGAAAAAGTATTATGATCGTCATTATCAGCACTAAAAATACCTGGTCTCGGAATTGCAACCAAAAAACACCACATATGCGTTTAATGATTAAATCTAACTAAAACTATCGAAGAAGTGGGTAAAATTGTTTATCGATTTACGCAACGCAAATAACAAATCTGCAGTCAGAAGTAGCATTACTTTGGTTAAAAACTTTTGATAGTCCCGTTTCTGTTTGCTTATTTAGAAAACTTGCATCTTAACAATTATTAAAGCGCTTGTATATGTAATTGCTAAAACACACTGCGAGGCAATTTAATTTCGAATGACAGGAAAAAAAGATTTTGACATACATACAGCCTCTTAAGAAATGCAGGCTAATTCCTATTTTGAGTGGAAATCAATATGACTTTAAAAACCATTATTTCTTGTGTTAAATTCCATCTTTTCTCTTCATGATGATTAATGCAGCTAAAATTATAGTTTCAATACCAGCTACTTAAATTTCTTGGACGGCTGTAAAATATATCTTAATTCGAATTTACTCTTGTTTTAATGAACCGACATCAAAAGAATCAGTCTCCGCCTCTGGAGTTGCTTTTCTAGTTTTTTGATGGAGTGGGATACGGTTGAGGGTGCTGGGTTGCTGCAGCAGTTTGAAAGTTCAATTATTACCGCACTGGTAAACTTGCGTCAGAAACAATGGAAAGACTGCACGGCTGTCGTCAGCGGTAAAACTGATTAAGTTGTTTTTCGAATTTAAATGCTCGGTCGGCTTGATATATTAGCACGTCAAAAAAAAACCAGTTATCAATTCTTTTCGATAAAATGAGACTGTTACTTTGGGCATTTTTTGGTTCAGTTACGTATTTTGAACAACTCCAGATCTAAGTCTCGAAGTTTGCTGAATGCATGTTCTGTGTATTTGTAGCAGCTGAATCACCTCATTAAGTGTTCATTACTTTCAAACCTCTATTATGTTAGTTTTTTTGAAATTATTTTTTATGATCTTTCGGATTCATCTATCTCGTTCGTTTTTCTTGTTTTGTATATCCGTGCAATCTTATCTGCGTTGACTTTTGCAGTAGTGCTTTATTTTCTAAAAACTCAAGTTCTGTTCTTTCTAATGCATTTTTCTGATCGTGAAGGCACATTTAAGTTCTTTGTTATGTGCATCGATGTGTTTTTATAAGTAGGCCTGATGGGAAGTTGGTGAGTTGATCCATTTACAATCTTTTTACGTTATAGATATTCGTCAATTGATCGGTCAACTTCGTTCGGGTAAGCTTGCTGTAAATTTTCGATATTATTTTAGACTTCGACTCTGGAATCGGTCGTATTAATGCAGAAAAGTCCGATTTGATAAAGTGAGCTCTCATGATTACGGGTCGAAATTTCTAGGGAAATCGAAAAGCGTGATTTTCTAATTGAAGGGAAGGACTTGGAAATACTCGGATTGCGTAATTTCGGTCCAAAATAAAACATTTTCTCTGTTGTAGGACATCAGCTAAGAAGTATGCTAATGTCTAAAGCTGTTTGCACTAAATGTGCCTGCGAAATAGTGGCTCCGGAAATCCAGTCGACTAAAGTTGCTCAAGAAACACATAAAAGCCGAAAAAGAGCACGATTCAACGTAAGATCTTTATTTTTTACTGGAAACGCTGAAACAGACTCCCTTGTTGTTCCCTCCCACCACTTTTCTTTATTTTCGTTCCTCTTGCCAAACAAAACCTAAGCTTGATTTTTCTCAATGTCTTCATCCCACCGGTATCTTGATGTTGAACCTGCACCATGCACGTTTTTACTACATATACCTTTTTAGTTATCAGTTTCAGCGTCACTCGAGTCTTCTACGAATCCACCCGTTGCAGTGGGTGCCACGTCCACATACTTCCATCGAAGGCCCTCAGAAAAGCGAAGGTGCATTGCACATTCAGACGGTCACATTTCCGAGGACTGCCCCGATCCAAAATCTTCATCGAAATCAAAAGTACCAAATTTACTTGTTGCAGAGACGCAATGTGATATGGGCATATGTGGTGAGTTGTAGCTCATTATTGGAATTGAGTTTAATGAACCGTATACCTGGCTTTATGGAGAATATTCTTGGTTTCAAATTTTCGGACAAGGGTCACCTGTGGGTTTAAATGTGTGCGTTAGTTCTGTGGACATGTTGGAATAGTCAGATGTAGAGCTCTCCTAACAATGTGCTCCCTATTGTTTTTTTTTGCACTTTGTCCTATTCTCGTGTGTTTAGATAGCGACGGTTCGTCCCTCACTAGCACACTTACTAGAGGTATTGTGAATGAAGCTGTAAATAGGTCATCCGTTGAGTCAAAATCACCTGTGGCAATTCCTCCCCTCCCGGATTCTGCACAAGGTGATAAAGTGGCGGATTCCATAGCTTATTGCCCCATTAATATGGGCGCCTTCAGTCCTCCCTCGCAAGCCTTCGACGCTTCCAAAGTCATCCGTGGTGCCGTTAATCATCTGGATTTGGCTGATTATGAGCCCTCAATAGTTGACCCTCCGCGCTCTTCTGAACCTTCTAAACAGTAAATTATGATTTTGATTTAGCAACGAACCGTTCGCGGTTCTCCGCGTTTAGGCTACGTTAAATTGTGCTGTTTGTGTGTTTGGCCTGTGATTCCCCAATTGCAATAAATAACGGATGCTTACTACCTTTTGCGGTGGCTTTCGTAGTAGTATGTCAAGATATCTGGATTTTTGCGTTCTTCATTGATTTCCTAAACCTCTTGCACACGTGTACAGGCTGTTTGTGTGTAGTACATAGGGTATTTTAGTTTACTTCTGCCTGATGTTTATGTTGTCCTGGCAAAGTCCTGAACCAGAATTTGCCTCTTATCTAGATCGAAGGCCAGGGCCTATTCACGGCACAGTCAAGGAAAAACGCATCAGTCACGCCGTTATCACAAGCCAAGTTGTCGTCACTATCAACCTCAGCAACAAAAAGTTGAAAACCGGAAGTATCAACCTAGTCCCACCAAAGTCGATCTAATTAGTGATGTCACCGGAGCTGATCTTACTACATTTCCTTCAATCTCAACATCCGGTGTTTTGGCTGACGCAGAATCCCACCAAGTGAACGACGGGGTTCCGCCAAAGTCCATTATGCCACCACCTGCAGCACCGCTCGGTGGTAAGAACACGTATTCCCTAGCCGATGTCTGTTTTGCACTTTCCCCTTGGTTGCGGTTCACGCTATCTTCATCCAAATGTCGCTTCGACTCTGATTGTTGATGTCCAAGGGCACAGATTTCTGCACCATGAAGTTTTATACGGGTTATTTTTGGCTAGATAGGAATTTCGCTCGATACGAATTCTGGCTATGTGAGTTGATTGTATTTGATAATTGATAAGTCAACTGGCTCATTTGGATTATGCATGTCAAAACTCCTACCTTAAAAAAGACCCCTTACAATTTGATGCCTAGTCTCTGTATTAAGTTGGAATCTGGCTGTAAGACAAGTCTGATTTTCACCGAGGTACATAACTATGCAGTATTATGAGTTTCATGAGTTGGTTCCTTGTTTCAGCTGCGTCGACCGCCTCTAGGCAGAATGGAAATAAAAGGAAATGTAACTCAACGAAGCCACCAACGGATGTTTTTCCATCATTAGGTGGATCTCCCACCTCTTTAGGAGCAGCTAAGCAAGTGGTATGATTTTTTTTTACTAAACATCAAACCCCAATGCTTAATGTTTCAAATTCATTTTGGAAGTCTTGGAATTGGCCATAGGAAATGTCAAGGCGTTGTGTAAAATACGTCTTTCCGAAATCTTTTCGTGCTGTTGCGTGTAAATACAATTTGGTTTAATGATTCACACAATACCCGGAATTGTTGACAATTGTTAAACATGGCAACCAAACTTCACTTTCTTGCTGTTACTTCTAGCCCATATTAGCGAAAAACTAATCCACGTGCAGATTCATGTCATCAACGTTAGTGATACTATTTTGTAAAATGATGGTGGTCTATTCACGTGGGGGACGTGGCATAACTTCTCAACTTTTTTTTACCATTAAACACAAGCTTGTACCGTTTTTGTAGAACACGATTCTTTTACTATTTGGTGATTATGTTCCTTTTTTATTGCTTCATTTAGTTTAATTTGTTTTGACGACAAACATCTGAATTGATCATTTAGCTTCTTGGAAGTAGCCAATAATTTTGGAATTTTGTCAAATTACCAGGATAATCTTGATGAATTCCAGCTTTTGGTGTAGGATGTGTTGGCCCGTGATCTCCATTTCATTACTAATATTGTTTTTCTCAAAGAAGGGCTTTCGTAATTTGAGGCACTGATCGCAGTGTTAAGTGAGTTTCTTTCATTTTTGATGGACCAATAAATCGACCTTTCAGTTGTAAAAATCACCTTCACAGTGGCGGTTGAGGCGCGAAAAGTACGGAACGTAACTTTTAACTAATTCTGACATTTTTGTTCTGCTAAACGATAACTCAAAAGTGCCACTTCCATTAACCTCAGTTGCTTCCATACCGTAAGTGTATATTTCGGATTTGACCGCTTTTGTGCCCCATTGTGCAATTGGTCCTAACATGACTATTGAAAGCATAATTTTACCGATTTTCGAAGGTAAAAAACACGCAGAACTGACCATTTACTTATGGGAATGAAAACCAGGATCATACTAACATATTTGCCCACATTGAACTAAACTAGGACATCTTTTTTTTCGTATAGGGCGTCAAAAAACAACTGGAAAATTCTGAAGAACTATCTAAAATGAAGTCTCCCAGACAGTAAGTTCACCTTTCTACTAGTTTTTTGAAGGAACACGGAATTTTGTACGTATGCTATTTACAACGGATATGTCCCGTTTTCGTATGCTCGAAGTGCTCACTCAATTGACTGAAGACTTGTCAGACTGCAATGTTAGATGTAACCATTAGCAAAGAATCCAGGTCCTTTTCTTTGCCCTTCAGGCCCGCCAAGGCCCCGACCTCATCTGTAACGGGTTCACCTGGGGCCCCCGTTTCTGAAAACGAGGCCTCGAAAAATGTGAAAGTCGCCGTAACCTGTCGAGATTGTGAAAAGGTAGGGTAAATGCAGTCATCTACGTGTAAGCTAGTCATCATGTATACCTATACTTGGGGATGTCGCACAGCCGAGGGCTTCATCAATTTGTGTTTATATGAGTTTGGGACTTGATCTTGGTTCCCAGTCCAGTCTACAACCAAAATATGCGGAATTCACAACTGTCGGTATGAAATGAGTGTGATGGACCAGCGAATTTTTCGCAACTTTTTGTTAGTAGGTAATGAGCCTCAAATAACCGAAACGCAAATGCCAATCAACATCGGCTATTGTCACCTCCGAACCACCTCGCTCTAGGTGTCAATGCCTTTGGTCACAAGCATGCTTTTACTCCTTATTTGAGCGGGCTAATGTAGGACTACATTCATTGGTTATTTCGTTATTAAGGCCACGCCAGTCATAGTTCATATATTTTATCGGTATAACAACGCTTGGTTTTACTTTGACGTCGTGCGGTCTCATTGTACATATTTTTTGCTTTGGTTAGTACTACCAAGCAGCCGGTTACTCGGCCGAAGAGATCTCTAAGCGCGTACAGGAGTCGGGCAAACACAGACACCCGGCGTCTCCCCCTGGTTATGATGGCGGCAATCTGCCCTCTTCGACACCCGAGGGGTTCTGGAACCTGGGAGAAATCACTGCGTCCGCTAATGTTGGTGCTGAAAATGAAGCTACGAAATCAACTGCAGACCACACGGATCAACAGGGAATACGCAGATTACGCCGTCGGAGACCACTTGATTTTCCAAAGCCTCCCTTATAAGCTTCATAATCATCATTTATTGGTGCCAATTTCTTTATTTTTCGATAACACAAATGACCATTTTATACATTTGGAATACATGTGGTTGTAACACACTTGCTGGTTTACCAGTGTATTTTGGTAGCTGTTTTTTTATCATCGTCTAGGCTTTTTCATGTGGCCGATTTCGCGTCCTTCTTTTCTTGTCCCCTCATCAATCGAAATATTCAATGAACGATGTTTAAGTCGGTCTTGATTCGGGCTTCGTTGTGCTGACGCGGAATCGAGTTCCCCCAACCCCTTATTTTGCACTTGCTGCATGACACTCGATATGTGGTTCTGAACATTTTCAATGCACTTTTAGTGTGCTAATGATAAAAAATCATACACTACCACCAGCGTATTGATGTATTCGTCAAATTTTGCTTCTGACACTCCATTATACAAAACTGAACTGTCATGCAACACTTGATCGTCCTTTCAGACTGTTGGCGACTCGCAGTTTATGCTTTTTGTTTGAGTCCACTTTTACTCCTACTCATTATTCTTGCATCCGATGGTGGATCATCTTGCATTCGAGGCGTGTTAGCGCTCTGCAGCCAAAGTGCTCTTTCCCCCCACAATACCTCACATTTAGCACTTATATCAGGCTTGTAATTGACATTCTTAAACTTGGCAACAGGTGTCAGAACCCATATGTTGCTTTTGTCACTAAAACATGTAGCAGCAATTTATGCAGTTAGTTGCTTCGTTGAGGGCCCAGTTGTTTGTAAACAGGTATGTCCTCAGCGAGGAATTCGAAAATAACAACCGTCTTTTTCACTGCAATGTCATGAAATAAGCTTGCCCCCAGGAGCCGCTCAAGTCCACTTGTACCAGCATCCTTGGTTCTCTCTAGTTTAATTGTTGGCATCTTTACCAAACGCAGGTATCTGGGACAAGTCCAGTCAAAAGCGGCCATGACAGCTTGGGCTACTCGATGTAGGTTAAAATGCTCTGCAACGGGTACCTATCAGTAAGGTAGAACAGTCTAAGTTCGAAGGGCGGGTGGTGGATGACGATTTAGTGGCACACACTTCAGGTGGTCATTTCAAAATAAGCATTCTAGGATAATCGACAAGTATAAACTGGTAAATAGGAGGAGGGTGTGTTGATCGTTTACGTGAGGGCACAAGCAAGCTTAGACCCACCGAATCTCCATCACAATTCGCGGTAACTCCAGCCATCCAAGTAAACACTCATTACACCCATGATTGTCAGGCATGATTTGGGTCGTTTTCAGTTTTAATTCAACGACAACAGATCTGCCGAAATTCAAAGACAATAGGAAAACCCTTCTTCCGAAGCAGGTCGTCGCCGTGTCTATCAACGTGATCCTATGTGCGCTCAAATTTGCTGTTTCCTGTTTGTAGTCTTGTCTCGTGTAGATACGTTTTACTTATTAAAATACAGTAGTGTTGTATTAAAAATTAGGCCACTTTTTAAATGGATAATTGACAAAACGAGTACTTATTTTACTTTACCAAAAAGGCAGAATCCATACTCATCACTGGGATCGAAAATACCGTTATTTTCTCCAGATAAACACCACCTAGCAGATGTTACGATTCACTTTTTGAAAAACCGTTGGCTCATAAAATTTGCCTACATTTCACATTTTTTAGCCAGTCTTTCTATTAACCGGTCTAGTCAGTAATTTGCCAAATTAAATATCAGCCTAACAGTCGAAAATATTACTCAACGGCTCGTCGGTTGCAGAGGTCGTAACAGTGCACTTATAAAGCCGTTAGTGAATATGCCTAATTTTGTAGCGTGAATTGATTACTAGTTCGCACACAATTTAAGGCAATCATTTTTTAGACCATGTGTTGATCAACGTATGTAGACAACTGCTAACCTAAATGTTATTCACCAAACATTTAATACATGCTCGTGCGCTCGTGGCAGGTATTCACATGCAAGCATTCACCATTTACCTCGGTCATGTCACACTGTACCTACACTCACGATGTGCCTGTTAGTTGTTTAAAATGAAATATAACCAGAAAAAATCGTACGAATAATAAATCTGACACGGTAATTCAGAGCTGTTACCATGAGAAATTTTGACGGCATTATTAGTAGCACCTGTTTCATGCTGAAGCAACTTAAATCCCAAGCACGCACTGCTGCGAGAAAGGTGACGCCGCCTTTGTGGGTTGACTTCGAGAGCAACTCGCACAAAAAAAGCGCTGCGGGTTCCCTCCACTTCTGCCCGAGAGAATCAAGCCACGAGTTCATTCTATTTCATCGGAGACAAGTCTCAGCAAATGTTTGAACTAGGTATTATAATAGCTTTTCGTACTTATTTTGTTTTCTAGTAGCGTACAACATCGGGCTCTCTAAACCAACGACTCAGCCAGGTGGACGCAAATGTCGACTGACCTGTCAGATATGGTGCGTTAGTGCATACAGGTGTGTGAGCATGTGTAATGACCTCTCGCAAAAACACAGACAAGTGAACAGCAAGGGTGATGCACACACTCACCGATCGGCTTGGTTTTGGCCCTTTCTGACAAGCTTTTGATCATTTCCATCGGTTAGCGCTCCACGACACACACTCAATTTATGCAGACACCCGGTTTATGCATACTTTTGCAAGTGTAAACATTTTCTTAACTTACGTCCATAAATAGCCTACCACCAATTCTTCAATAGTTATTTGATGGGTGAGTTGAACCTTGCGTGGCTTCCCTCCTACGTTATTTTTAAAAACACTTTATACCTCCTGTTTCTACTTCTCAATCATTGCGACTGATGTTCATGGCACATAGTAGATAAAAGCATTCACCAGTCCATCTCTGTTTTCCCGATAATGGTATACCCTCCTGGGTGGTGGCTGCTTCAGGGAGTCGGGTTCTTGTTTTTAGCTCGATTACGTCTCCCTTATGTCCAAATTTATTGCGTTGACCGTGTTAGCGTCGGTTAAGATTATATGACTGCATTCGTCTTTGTCCCGAGACAAAATTTAATGATTGTAAACATAATCGTGAGTTTACACTAACTACCTAGAAGCTAAGTAGGCCAACGAGATTACATCACGCCTGGTCCCGCTGCGTTTGGTCTTTGACACACCGACTAATTACAAACAAAAAAACACTAGCGCTCTGAGGTTCAAGCAAAACTGACTAGCCATCAATGGGTGTTCAACGTTCCACGAGCTAATAATGGTCCTTACTGAAATTAGCATCTCCGGACTGGCTCTGGATTGCATAAATTTCTGCATTATGAAAGTTGGGAGTTTTGTATCGGATTGTCTCCGTGGTATTCTTCTTGGCGAATCCAAATCCGTTTGTCTGTTTTGTCGATCGACAGCTGTTTGTTTGCGTTGGTGAGCTTTCTAGTTCCAGACAGTTATTTAAAACAAGTACGAATAAATGTAGTTTCGTCTAATTAGATAAAAGGGAACCTCACAACCAAGTTCTGGTGGTATTTTTGAGATGGATTGACATGCCGGAAGATCTGCTTTCGTGGCGCTCAAATATTCTTTTGCAGACTCTCACTTGTTGGTTCTAGCTTACGAACGGTGAGGTATACCCTTCTAAACATTTATATACCCTTCGAAGGAACAAACTGCTTACTAGACAGTCCAATAATGAGGTATTATGGCACTATGAATTTATTTAACTTGTGTCACGGCACAAATTTTAACCGTTTGACGTTTGCTAAATACTAAGGAATTCAAGACATTTTAATTTACTTATTCGGAGGCATTCCTCTTTTAAAATTTCCACTGCTAAGCCCCCATACGTATCTTCAAGTAACAATGCCAATGAACTTTTGAATTATTGAATACCTCTTACTCTTCACCAGAATTAATTTCAAAATACGCACTGCAGTTATGACTCACATTTTTAATAGAGCATACTGTTTGATGCGTTACCATGCCGATTGACTAAAATTAAACTTTATATGAATCCAGTCTTATCACGATTTGACACTAAGATGACGCCATTTCGGTTGTGTGACTGGTTATAATTCCTTGCATTTTGCTTAATCAATGTAAATAATATCGGATCGGTAAACGTACAGAAGCCCCATTAAATTGTAATGGCTAACACCTGAAAAATTCGACTTTTGGTTGTGGGATATTTCTCCCGATTCACGATCATGTTTCCAATTCATCTCAACTGTGCGGACTGAGATTGCTAAGATCCACTTGTCGTGAACCGCGTTGGTTCACTCTCGCTAATCCGGTCACTTGAGTCGCCTACACAAGGCCTCACGTTTCACAGCATGTCATCAGCCGCGCGGATCCTCAACTCCCCCCTAACTAGAGCGAGCAATTATACTGAATTTTCCTCACACCTAGGTCTCGATGTTTGCGCATTTATGAGTCACACATCTGAGCTATACAAAAACGCGCAAACGCCACACAGGACACAAAGACACCAACGTGTTTGAACTCTGGAGTAAATGGTTGTGTCCACGTCCTCTCCGGTCTTCTCCATCGCAGGTACAACTCGCAGTGGCCCTGGCGTGGTTCTTGACCATATGCTGGGGCTCACAACACAACCGAAACTGGTACTATTTATTGTAAGATTCCAGTTGTTGACCTCTACTTACTTAGATACACCACTATTGTGTATCGTCACCTGTACATTTCGATGGCGTGGCTCATTTTCTCCTCAATATTGTGCACGACTCCACTGCGAACCGACAGCCCCAACTCGCTGATTTGTAATCTCTGAATTTATTTAATGGCTCAACAGCAGCCAACATGAGCCACCCAAACTAGGTTAGAGCATCTAAAAACTACATGAATAAGCATCCAAAACCTGAAAACTTGAGCGCCTGCTAGAAGTTCCAGCACACTGACCCTCAAGACCGATTCGAAAAATTAAATTTCACAAATATTTTAAATACGACTACTTTGCTACCACAGCAACGAACGAGGAAACAAGAACAGACTCCACAAATTGCTGAACCAGTAGTATGGCTTTAAAAGGACAAGGGTTTTTGGCGCAAGTCGCCGGAAGCAT